TGGTTCACTCACATCTTGAGCCAGAGGTAGTTGATCGAGTTCTACTACCAGTTGTGTGCGTTCAATAGTGAATTTGTTGGGAAAGGTCATATGGAACGCGCTTGACCTTGTAAGTTGGGGCTCTCATCACCATCATAATTTATGCATGTGTAGTTTTCGGTGAAATTAGAAAGGAATTTGTTAAAACTTTTTGAAACTGTCAATTCTCTAAATCAGGTGATATCCGGACTGGGAGTAACATATTCATATAGGCGAAAGACTTATGATTGAGAGTCAATAATGTATACGGGTCAACTCCGAATTGTTTAGCTGGGAAACTATACTTATTGGGATGCTTCAGAGTATGGTTTAAAGTATCAGTGTTATTCTTTAGGTACATAATGAATCAAGCGCTAAGATACTAGCTCGTGAAAAAGATATTGGAATTTCATATCGAATCATTAACGGGTGAAACTTGTTACCTTAGCACGTATTTGGAGCTCTGTCAACCAACGCAACCATAGGAAATTTGAGTCAAGTGAGAGACCACCACTGCCAGAACTAACATAGCCCACCCAGCCTCCCATTCTTTTCAAAGTGCAACTGAATCTAATACTGGTTCTCCACGTATGTACTACGATTGTGGTTCTACTAAGCCTTAACTTCTTCACGATCAAGAAATGAGATCTTTCGAGGACCTGCGAAGACTATCAACTAGCAGATATTTAGAATCTCGTTTTTGGCGTGGAGCACTTCAGGTTGCTATATCCAAAGTAGGTTCGAATAACAGCTAGACTTGAATTCCTGTTGCTACGTACAAAGACTGGAGCAAAAATTTAGACAAAAAGTGTGTGAAAAGAAATCAGCCGATATATAACTTTGTGACCAAAAGGATATTTAATAATATACCTTAGTCACACCACACACCTGGAAACAAGAGAACATGGATTAGGTGCGACAATGAACGCTTGCTACAGGTGAAGAGGAGTGCCTGGCACAAGTGAAAGGTCTCCTTGAACGATTCTGACCGTAGTTATTACTTGGCATTGAAAAATAGATGCACTATCAAAGTTCCAAGCGATTAGAGACGCTTTCAGATGAAACTAGCTGTCCAAATACAGGCAAACACTAATCATCTCTTAAGGTTCATGACTAAAGGAAAACCTACGAATCAGGGTTTGTGCTCTCTTGAGGGTCTGAATGGGGTAGTTCTCACCAACCTAGAGATGGCTGAGATCTTCAACACAAATTCAACCAACCGGTCAACTCAGGCATCCACATGTTCATATTACTACGCGAACCCAGTGCCAACCGACGGCTTAGGAAATATCAGTATTAATCCTGACTTAATACTAAGGAAACTAAAATCCTTGCACCCAGGAAAGTCACCAGATTGTGACAAACTACCAAGTGCCTCTATAGAAACGTAAGAGGACTGAGGAGTGAGTCATTATAAATCAGCAATTTGTGCTCTCAGATGGATCTGAAAATCATAATCCTAATTGAAACATGGCTATCCTCTGAAATTGCAGACGACGAATCGAGTTTGCGAGGTGTGACACTCTTCCAAAGCGGTAGGGTACACCAAACAGGGGCCTGTGTGGCTATATCTATTAACAGTTATTTGAAAGCCGAGCGGCTACACGACACCGAATAATGTTGGTATTGTTTCCGCACAAACCGTATATACTTGATTGAAGGGATTTACCGACCCCCCTCAGGGACTAAGGTCAAGAAAGACAAATTAACTGAGACAATACTGCAACTGCCACTTCTTGAGTTTGATCAAATACTCTTATCTGGAGATTCTAGCAACCCATCTCTAAATCCCAGCAAACAGTGTATAACTCCAACTGGTTGGTTCAAAAGACGACTTGGCGCAGCCAATAGAAGCTATGAGCTTACTGAGCATGTATTCAGTTCCCCTAGATGGACTATGGAGGGAAAATGTTCAGGCCTGGATTATATGATAAAAAATGATCAGCTTCTGATCGACCGTGTTCACGTCCATACACCAATAGGAAGTAGTGACCATGGCAGAGTCTTGTTTAACATGGTCATAAAAAAGCACTCAGGTAGGCCGAAAAGGAGCGCGACGTTTGGTACACTAGGGCGAGTTATGCGCCTATGAGAGAGAACCTTCTAAATATCCCATGGCCAGAATGCTGTTGTAAACCATGTGCCTCAGTCACACGGCACTGAACGTTTGCTACAGGTGAAGAGGAGAGCCTGGCACAAGTGGAAGGTCTCCATGGAGGATTCCGATCGTAGTTCTTACTTGGCATTGAGAAGCAGATGCACTATCAAAGTTCGAAGTGATAGGAGACGCTTTCAGATGAAGCTAGCTGACCAAATACAGGCAAACCTTAGGTATCTCTTAAGGTTCATGACTAAAAGAAAATCTACGAATCAGGGTGTGTGTTCCCTCATAGGTCCAAATAGCGAAGTTCTCACCGATCTAGAGATATCTGAGATCTTCAAGAGAAACTTAGCCATTCAGTTAAACTAGGAATCAACATGTTCATAGTACTACGCAAACCCAGTGCCAACCGATGGCTTAGGTTAGGCTCAGTATGACTCCCGATTTAGTACTAAGGAAACTAAAATCAGTACACCCTGGAAAGTTACCAGATTGTGACAATATTCGTCCCATGGTCTTGAAATAATGTGCAGAATCTGTCATTTCATCGATATGTGACCTGTTCAGGCATTCATTGGAGTCGCACCAACTCCCAGTTGAATGGAAAGAAGCTACTCTCTCTCTCTCTCTCAAATCTTTGAAGCAAGAGATAGGAAGGACACAGTCTGTTAAAAACCAGTCTCACTACTACCAATACTATCAAAGTTAATGGAAGGACTGGTGGACGAACAAATGAGCAAATTTTCATCCAAAATGCACTCTTCCAGTCCAGATAAACGTTCAGCCACCAGAGAATCAAAATTCGATATGGCTGTCGCCATAATTAGTTACCAATTTAAAGAACATAATACAGTTCAGGAAGGAACATAGAAACTCAAAAAGAGTACGAAAAATAGAAACTATAAAAAACTACGAATCTTAGCATCCCAAAATGGGATTAAAAGACCACCAAAATGTAGAACAGAAAGAGTCATTAAGTACCTATTACAGTTGTATACGTGGAGGGTGTAGAAACTTTTTTGAATGTTTTGTTTATTGGAAAATCCCTCCATGTACATATATTTAAGTTATGATATAACTGACTCTTTCTGTTGACATTTTGGTATTTTATTTGATTCCATTTTGAGATTTTATCATTGTATATTGTTATTATTTCTATATTTTGTACTTTTATTAGAGTTTTTATGTTTGCTTCTGAACTGTACATATGTTGTTTAAATTTGTTATATAATATGGCTACAGCCATATTTGGATTTGATATCGTTGCAGTTAATACTAGCATCACCTATTCTTTTGGAACTGGATACCCATCAGGGTAATTGGGACTTGGAAGGTGTATTAGAAGTCAGACTACTTTCTCCTAGAATTATTGTGTTTTGATATTGGACTAAGGGAGGGTGCGTTCGACTTACACCTACTGGAAACAAATTGAACTGCTACGGTACAAAATTCATCTACAGAGGCATTTTCCTAAACAAAGCCTTCCAAGAAGAATTCTACATCTCAGGTCCACTCCTCTTCGTGATATCTAATAACGACCTGTTAGACGCAGTCAGCTCGTCAGCACTGATATGCGCAGATGATGTGAAGAGCTGGAGGTCCATAAAAAGCGAAGAGGAGTCGAGTGAGATACGAAAGGACGTTCATTCGATTGAGGATGGGGCAGTGAAAAATGGTTTGAGACTAAACCAGTCGAAATATCTTGTCATGTACATCATGATCCATCTGATGCTGACTATTTACACCGTCAAGGGAAGTCCTTTCCCTAATGTCTGCTTAGAGTGCTATCTCGGTTTAATGACCACTGAAAACCTGCATACCAGCTCGAACTATATAGAGGAAGCAGCCAAGACAAATGCAACTCTTCACTTTATGCGAAGACAACTTGGTGCTATCACCTCACAATTATTCTTAACGTTGTTTGAGACATATGCACGCCCACACCTTGATATTCACAACGTCGTCGCACCCTCTCTCCTTAAGTGAGACATAAATCTCTTGGATCGAGTGCAGGGACAAGCAACGAAATGGGCAATGGGGTTGGAAGATACATTTTAAGAAGATAGACTCCAGCAATTGGGATTATTCACCCCGAGTCACAGGGTTGTCAGAGGCGATCTGATTATGGCGTACAACATATTAAGCAAGCCAAACCATCCCAACGTGGGCATCTCACTGATGCATCACCACCACTCCCCTCTAGGCAATCCTTGAAAAATTGCGCACCAACGAGTGAATATTCAGGTTCTCACACGCCTTTTATCAAAAAGAGTTGTTGGAACATGGAATGCTCTCTCAGTTGAGGTGAGCACAGCCCCCTCATTTGACAGCTTTGAGAAGAGACTTGATATAATCACATTCGGATTACCATCACCCTCGTGGACAAGCTGTGCCTGAGGCATGTCTTGAGACATGTTGATTGTTATTACTTCCATTCTTCAAGATCACTAACTTAATCTCTTTCGCCAATTATCTCTGTTTTCTCTCCATTGCTTACACTTCGGTCCTCTCTCAAAATCTTCACCACCAATAATCAACTAAGTTTATTTACTTGGTTCTGAAATCCTCTTTTTATTAGTATTATAATGTTCTTATTCTTTGTCTCCACATTGCAACTAACTGATCTCCGGTGTGGTAACATGATAGCTGCTACTATCCGGAAAGCCTACTGTCCTGAAACAAACGTGTTCATTCATTTCATGGGACATACAAACAACTGTCAACTGACTAGGATTAGTGAAGTTGAGTGGCAAGGACACTACTAAACACCTGGAACCGAACTGAAAGAATAATAATCCAGCTCAAAGAAATCAATTGGTATATACTTAATATTTGATATTGGACACTGTATGGCGACCTTGTTTTCATTGTCGTAACCTTCGACGAGGCGGCTGAAATATACGGATTGATGTCGTTTGCCCTCTTAAAGAAAGCCTTTGGCATTGGAAAATCAATCGACGATCGAGAGTTTGATGAGTTTCTAAAAGCAGTTGACAGCAATGATGTGCATGTTGGGTTTGTAGTTCAGTTTGCCATGACCAACATTTTAGGCAATTAACTAAATTGCTTCGAAAGAAAGCAGTCCGGTTGTTTGTTTTGAAGAATGAAGACTCAGGTGTCATATTTGATTCTTCAGCACAAAAGGTACGTCAAAAAGGGTATAATTTGACTGGCAGGATCCTGTGAAATCCATACCAACTATTAGTGTTGGTCGTCAGCAGTTGAACCTCAGTGATATGGCGTTTGGGTCTTATTCTTTAAATAACAAAAAGCCACTCTTGCATTCAATGAAAATTCATGATATGAGGTGAGCTTACTCTATGGCTTATGGAAACCTTTAGTTCCATTGGACAGGTTCTATTCACTCGGGTTTTCAACGAATTCGATGAGTGGTAAGTACAAAGGAATCACGAAGCTAATGCTTTTTAGGCGAAGTCTGTGTCCAAAAGGTGAAACTAACCAGTGGACCAAACAGGACATATCTATTGGGCATTCCGATTCGGTACGAAAACTTACTAAGCTTATTTTCCCTTAGTTAAAGAAACATAATTTAAGAAGCTATAAAACCTTGGCAGTTTGCTTGCTAATCAACTTGGAATGGTGTTCACCTACTAATGGGTTGTGTACTGGTAAAGCATATCCACAAAAATCACACAGCCGTCGAAATTTTTATCATCTGTTCAACACTGATCTTCCCCACCATGGCCAACCAGTTCCTCAGTCATCTACGGATACTAGTTTGAAGATATCGACATTTACCTCAAGACGCTTCTATAATATGCTCTTTGAACACTGGACACAGTTAAGCCTTCTGATAGAGACATTGTCAAACGAATGTGCAGCAGCCGTAAGTAACAACGGTATGAGTTGCTGGGGTGCACACAAACTTGTGCCAGACATGCACTGTACAGAAATCATTGCAAAAGCTTTCAACAAATTTTTGAATTATTTCCGGGATCTGTGCTTGCCGAAACTATCTTTTCCAATTTGGCCTACGTTAAATGTCGCATTATCTACCGATTTTGATTCGTTGCCACTTTGCTTTGATCGGTCACGAGCTGATTGTGTTGCTAATTGGCTTAACATTGACCCTAGCTATTCTCAGACAATGATTGTCGATTTCAATCAATATCCCAAAGATAACCTGGTCGATGTGTTCGTCAGGTCCTGTCTGGCACCTTTAATTATTAAAGGTAATAGTAAAGAACATCGAAGGTAAGTGAGCCTTATACGATATGCTGTCCCTGCTTAAACATGTTTACCTAAATTTATGGTGTTTTTTATGATTATGAAGTCGTTTAGCGTGTTTGTACGATGCGTCTTTATGACCGGTTCTTCCTTTGGTGTGTACACCTTTTAACAAATAGGGATTTGAGTGACCCATTTATTAATACATTAATGTAACATAGGTGCCCTATGATTACTTATCCTTTTATTGAGCTGCAAATAGATAATGCTGTAAACTGTCATTCTAAGGCTTATCATTCTGTTAGATGCATTGAATTTTAAAAGGTGGACATCAAGCAAGTGAATGAACATTCACCATTTAGTTTCCAAGCATTTGCTGTATGATTCTTTCATTTTATGTCACTTGTATTCCTGTCGTCGGTTTTTGTGATACATACCGGTGTTTTCTGTTAAGTGGTGAATATTAAAGCTACCAGATCGCTCAGACCAATACCAACCTGATTTCTTTCTCAGGTTCCGTGGGAAGCACACTTCTACGGTGTGGGTAGCCGAGAAGTAACATCTGATTGCATAAATGTAACACAAGTAAGATCATATTGGTCACAATCAAATCCTTTCTCACACTAATGCATACGATTTGAGTTCGCGAAACGTTCTTCCTAGTCTCCCGAAACCAGATTCCAAATTACATGGAGCTTTTAGTGTCCGAGCCTTGTGTCACAAAGAACAACAAGCTTCCTTAGCTAGGACTTTAGAATCTCGCGCCATCGATGTATAATGCGTCTCCAAAACACACATATATGATCCAGGTAGAGTAATTCACTTGACTTCACCTTGTCAAGATAAAGAACCGTCTCGGCTTACGCTTCGTGTATCTGGAAGCCTAACTGCTGCTTCCCGTGATGTCGCTGGTGTAAGTATAGCATTGAGCCCTAGGGAAGAACTAGCTCTCTTAGACTGGATCCCAGTGGATATTCGCTTGTGCGCTGTTCGACTAAACGGGACAGTAAGGACGCGAAAAGATAGGAACACTCCCCATTGCCTTTTCGTCGTGTCTGCAGCTCAGACGAGGTAAAAAATGAATTTTACGGGAACCTTTCTGAGCCTCTTCAAAAAGCTAGGCGCTCTGATATAGTAATAATGGCTGGTGACTTCAATGCTCAATTAGGTAAACTAAGTGAACAGGAATGACAACTGGGTGGATCTTATGGTGTTGTGGCTCAGAGAACAGATAATAGCGATGGTCTGGTGAAGCTATGCTCAGACAATCGCCTATTTCCGGCAAGTACTGATTTTGAGCACAAGGGAAAACATCTGTTGACCTGGCGACCCCCAAACCCGACCCAACGCGGGACCTAGGTAGATTACATCACTATCAGCCACCAATGGAAAGGCTCAATTGAAGACTGCCACTCGTTCTGCAGAACAGGTTTAGATTCAGACCATGCTCTAGTGCAAGCGCGTATTTGTTTGCGCCTTACTGGACGTAGGGAAGACAACACAAGGAAACCCCTTAGGGTTCTACTTAGTGATAACATAGCTAAGAATATATTTCAGGAGCAACTAGAAAAACAGAGAGGCAGCCATGTACGTGATGCCCATTCTGAGGCAGCTTGGAATGATATCCAAAAATCTGTGGAAACAGCAATGATATTTACCAGTAAATAAAACCATGAGGTTAGGAAGCAGCAGTGGGTTTCAGTAGCATCTGCTGAACTGATGATAGATACTCGGAAACTAATCCCAACTGGTTCTGAACATGATGAGGAGCGGAGTCAGCCTAAGAGCAGACTGATATGAAGCCTACGCAATGATCGCGAACAGTGGCGAGTAGCAAAAGCAAGAGAGATAGAAAAGGCAGCGCTAATAGGTAACAGTAGACAACCGTTCCGAATTATCATGGAAACTAGTAGTAGGAATCCAACTGTAAGTGAGACTATCTCGGAAAACGATGGGATTATTATTCCTTCTCAATCTAGGAGATTGAATTGATAGGCAGAGCACTTCAGGGATTAACTCAACTGGCCTTCAGCCACACTTTTGTTATTTTGGATCCCCAGTCAACCTGAATGGCGAATTGATGTGAGTCCTCCGGCTCTTACTGAAGTTGAAAAGGCTATAGGAAGTCTAAGGCGTGGGAAAGCAGCAGGTCCTGAAAGGCTTACCGCTGAGATAAGGATGGTAGTGCAGTTTTAGCAGTTAGATTGACTGAGTTCTTAGGTAGGATTTGGGAACTGAGCTCATCTGACTAGTCTCAATCCCTGATTGTCCCAATTTGTAATAAAGGACAAGAGTCCTCTTGTAACAATCACTGAGAAATCAGTCTAACTAATATAGTTTCTAAAATATTAGCTTCAATAATAATTCAACGTCTAACCAGAGCTTATGAAGAGCGAACTCGAGAAAAGCAGGCTGGATTCAGACCTGGACGTGGCTGTATAGACGAAGTACGTCGATCTTATTTACGTCCTCTACTCGAACAACAGTGGTCGAGGGAGAGCTTATGGCGAAGTGTCACCAGGATTGATCGCTTCAAGTGGTGTTCGCCAGTGCTGTCCACTTTGTTCGTTCTTGTTTAACTTCGTTATATACGTCCTTTTATATACGACACTCGCATCATCTGACTTTTCGAAAGTTGAACATTTACCAAGATATTCGCTCGTTGGCTTGGAATATAATGATGACATCGTTTTACTTGGTGCATACGCTGACAAAATTCAGTGTCTCCTAACTACCCTAAGCAACAATCAAAGCAGGTTCGGGATGCGGTTGCTTCAAGTTTGGGTTGCATCGGTACCTGAATTAGTGATAGGGAGTAAAGCAGTTGAGCGTGTTGACCACTTCAATTTTCTCGGGAGTCTCATCAGTTCTGATGGCCTGGTGACTGACGAAATCTCAGCACAGATACAGAAGCCTGGATTGGCTTATGCCGAATTGCGTCATTTATGGCGTAGGCAAGATATCCGTTTGTTAAACAACAGACGAGTGTACTGCGCAGCAGTTCGCTACGTCCTACTTTATGGCTGTAAAACATGGCCAGTAAGAGTAGAAGATATTCGTAGGTTGCTTGTTTTCGGTCATAGATGTCTCCGAAGCATTGCTCGTGTATTCTGGGACAACCTAGTAAGCAATGCTGTTATTAGGAAACGGGTCCTAGCTAGGGATGGCAGGTCAATAGATGAAGTGTTGAAACTTCATCAGTTGAGATGGTTAGGACATGTGTTACGTTTTCCCAACCACCGACTGCCTCGTCGAGCTATGTTTTGTTGTGTAGGAGTAGGTTGGAAGAAAGGTAAGCGCGGCCTAACTAAAACATGGCACAAATCCATGAAGTCACTGACAACTGGATTGAGTCATGTGGGTAGGCGTAGACTACCTAGTTGAGGTCCGCGAGATGATAATAATCGATGGTTAGAGACCTTGAATGACATGACTCAAAACCGTTCACGATGGCGCAGGTGCATCCATTCTTTGTGTTCCTCAACACCTCTGTCTTTCTCTTTTTAAGTTTATTTCACTAGATTATATTCCTTGAATGATATCTTCTAATCCCAATCTCTCCGATTACTTCTAATACTTTTACTACGTCTACTACTATGGGATTTGAATTGACAATTATATCTCTGTGCTAACTTGGTATGGCAACTTGAACTGAAATGATGTACGTACGTACCAAGTTCCTACATTGTGACCGACTGACGTGAGTACTTTCAACTGAATTCTTTTCAGGTTCCATTTTTCGATGTTTAAACTCTCTTACTACAGTTGATACTGTTACTCCTATTATTTCGATATTCTTCGTTGTAAATTCATTTTACTGTACGGATGTATTGAAATGACGCACGTTTGTGCCAAATCATACATTAGTTCTAACTTAAGAACTAACTAAGCACATCACCTTTTGATGGAATTTTAAATATTCACTCACTGTATCTATTGGCTAAAAGTAACTGTCTTAATCACTTTTACAAAAAGAATCTGAAATTAGACCAAGAGAATTACAGCTTCTGTTTAATAGATTATATGGTGAAATCCGTGAGTATGCTTGATGCGTTCATTTTGAACTCAAAAATGGACAGACTCTCCGATTGTCCTCTACTGGATAAAACATCATTTCCTTGTAGTTATGTTCAGTACTGGTTAAGAGCAGATGTTCTCGGTAGCAGTATCGTAAATGAACAGTTGCGTTTCGTAAGTACAGATGTTATTGTTAGTTTAAGCCCCCTAATTATATTCTGAGTTCACCTGCTAGTGTGATTTGAAATGTTAACTGTCAGCAGCCGATTTGCCTAGCATATTTTCAATTAGAGTTCGCCATGAAAAACAAACATGATTACATAGAAGTTGAGCCCATCTGTAGTGTTTGGTATCCATGAATTTGAAAAATCAAAATACGATAGATAGTTTCTGTATGTTGTGTAATGAAAAAATTTGCGTTACTTATTATATTATATTACGATATTGATTTTTAAAATAAGTTCAATATTATTTTATAGCTTCCTTGCTCGGTTGATTACTGGTATTCTCATGTTTCATACTGGTTGGATCGATGGCTCAGGATCACGTGTAAATTCGGTATGTTTCCTTGCATTTGCAAAATATTAACCTTAAATCATGCTTCGAAATCTAACTAGAGCTCGTGAAGATCAAATCCGTGAAAACCAAACTGGTCTCAGACCTGGACATGGATCTATGGATCAAATACTCACCGGCAAGTTCTTGAGCACAGACATAATTTTCAACGTCAGACAATAATTGTATTAAGGTGACATCGGACTGTTGATCGTGAGATTCCGTGACAGTATGTCATTGAAAAGTGTATCGAAGAGATACATTAATCGTGTTCAAACTCTAGTGGAACACTACTAGTTGAATCAGAGCTTATGATGAACTGTCATTAGGATTGATGACTTCAAGTGATGTTTTTCAGGGTCGTCCGCTCTCCCTATATTTTTGACTTTGTCATAGACAGCGTTTTAGCGATAACCTCCTCATTGTGTGACCTTTCAGGGGTTGATCTTCGACCAGAAGATTCACTTATTGACTTGGGATACTCAGACGATATAACCGTGTTTGATGAAGATGCTGACAAGATTCGGAGTCCTTTGATTTCCTAAAGAAGGCACCGATGCGAGCATGTCTGGGATGTGATTTTCTACCTGAAGACTCTATCTAAAGCCTTCCTAGGGTCACTGCCGATCTGATCCGAATAGAGAAGGAGAGTCGGACATGGAGTTAGCAGCACCATTTCGTAGGAAGAAACCTTAGTAAAAAAGCGCTAATCAAAATGAAATCTCCCCCTCGAAATGTCAAATATTGTTTCAGGACTGGTGCACATCTGGACCCCAACTAATGGTAGGGAGTGAAGTGGTTGAGCGTGTAGACCACCTCACTTATCTTGGGAGTTTCACCAATCCTGATGGTGTGGTGACTAATGAACCAGAAAGTTCAATTAGCCTTAGCCAACGTGCGGTGTAGAAGAGATATCCGTCTGCCAACCAACTAATGAGTGCACTACTGAGTAATTCGCTTCGTTCTACTTCATTAGTGTGAAATATGGACATTGAGAATGGAGGATATTGGTAGCTTACTGATGTTCTATCACAGGTGTTTTCAAGGTATGGCTGGTGTATTTTGGGATGACCGAGTAAGCAATGCCTGGGTTAGAAATAGGGTACTAGGTAATGATGACGAATGGATTGGCGATGTAGTAAACCTGTTCGAGTCCAGTTAGCTGAAATCACCTTATTAAGATCAAAACATATCTAATTTGTGTATTTACTTGCCTACTTTGTGTAGGGAATGGTTTTGAATGTTTTTGAATGCTGAAGGTTGTGTTTGCTTTAATTAAGACCTCTTTCCCCACTGTGCCTTCACGCGACTTGAATAAAGACCTACTACAACCACGTTACAGGCTTTTGATGGATACTAAGAAAGGGAAAGACTAGCAACACGAAAGTTGTGAGCTTGACATAATCGGAACACGGAAACCTCTGATCTGGAGACTGATGTGGTTGGGACATGTGTTACATATGTCCAACCTCCGTCTTCTTCGATGTCTGGTGTTATCTGGCGTAGGAGTAGACTAGAACAAAGCTATGGGCGGTTAAACCAAAAAACGACACCAGTTCATGAAGTCATTGACAGTTAGACTGAGCCAGATACATTGTATAGAATACCTGGTCGGGGTCAGCGTGATAATCGTAACTAGTTGTTGAACATTGGATGACGTTGCTCGAAATCGTTTTTAATGGCTCGGACGCATCCATTCTTTGTCTTCTTCCAGATTCTAAGCTTCTGAATTCCCCATAACTTTTTATTTATTTCATTAATTCATGTTTCTTGAATCTTATCTTCTGTGGAATTAGGCCGTACGATTTAATGTCTCTGCACTAAAGAGATATGACCACTTAAACCGATGTACATATGTACGTACCAGTATCTTAGTTGCGTTTGAATGACTGACGTGGCATTTTGTTCATGATTATATTTTGTAAATGTGTGTTAGTGATAAGACCGGTGAATAGTTATGCGTTGTATGCTGAGTTTATCTCATAAAATGCATCTATATTTACTTGTCTTTTGGACTGTCTACTGTTGTATTTGTGCTGTAAAGAGAGCATCGAATTAACTGATTCACCACAAATCGTCCCACCCCATAATAATCATTCGGTTTCGTTCTGACAAATTTATTATCTTAGGGGGTTAGCTGTAGCAGTTCATCGATATCAAATAACCAGAATATGCCCGTCAGTTTACTGGATCAGCTACTGACACAAACAGGTTTCAAGACCATGGGGACAGATTCAGTATCGTGTGGAAGTATATTCAACTGCACTGTAATATCTGGCCAGTCTCGTGCTTATTTAGTGGCTCTTCTTCACTTCGCTACATATTTCTTGAGATTCATGTGCTTGATTCATACACAGGAGTGTCTGCCAGAACTTGGACCAGCTGATCTGTTTGAATTAGAACAACAGAAACGACGGGTAGGTGGTGGTCATGGTAATTTTTTAGAGTTGATTGTTTTATACCGTCCATTAGAGTAGGGCATCACTCTATATCAAATTTACATTTATTTTCCTTAGGTTATCCTTAATTTCAAAACAAGATTTGATGCTTTACTGATTCATGTGTGTCACGTGTAATAAATAGCAACTTTATCATAATTATTAACTGTCGGTTCATGTATAATCCTAAATGGTTTGAAGGCTAACTTGGTGTGGCGTAGGTAAACGTACATTGTACATCAAAACTAAATGATCGTTAAACGAACTGATCTTGAATTCAATAGAACTCTCGAATGGTATTGCAAACGTAACCAAGGACAAAATTTTGAAATTACTGAGATGCGAAGTAAATACATTTTTAAGATATTGAAGGTTTTATGGTAATTGTGCTACTACTGGCGTCTTCTTTACCGTGTGTTCTTTTAGTTTCTAATATTTTTTTCCAAAGGTGTTGCGATTTCACGATTGCTTGCAGTATTTGCTGATTATAGATAATTGGGAGATTCTTCTGATGCAGAACACAGTCTTTGCGAACTGAACAACTACAATACATAACTACTTTAACCTGTCACCCTTCTTGCAGCGTGGATCACTGACTAAAGATCTCTAATCAACTCTATCCCAGGTTCTTCATTCCAGACATACTGCTGCAGAAGCTGTCACTACACCAGTCGTCTTTATCTGCATTTATTGCTGCATGTAGGACAGAAGAGCTTGGTCATCTGTGAATTCCAGATTGTCTAGCTGCATCTTAGTTGTCCACTGTATCCTTTGCTTCTTCTGAGATTCGGAAGTCGTTATAATGCAGTCAACTATCAGAAGAAAGAGAAAGGGTGAAATTAAGCAGCGTTGTCTGACCCCTGTCTTGACTTGAAATGCTTCTGGGAGCCCACCCTCCATACATGAATTTACAGTGTAGTCCGTCGTAAGAATTGCGTATGATGTTGACTATCTTCTCTGGTCTACTACTATGTTGTCGAAGAACGTTCGATAAAATTATGTTCACACTGTCAAATGCTTGCTCATAGTCGAGGATGTCGATATATAGTGATCAGTTCCACTCAGTTAATTGTTCCACAATGATCCGTATTGTCGCATTCCGGTCATTACACTATGAGATGCAGCCTGTTGATCTCGAAGTCAGGCGTTTACTGAATCTCTCATCCGGTTCAATGACACTCTGTTGAGGACTTTCTGATGCTGACGTTTGAGATTTTCTAACACAGCATTATTGAACTATGTATTATAGTGCATTCTCTTTGTTAATCAAACTGTCAAATTTTTTCGCAAACTTAATCAACGATGAAAATGCGAAATTATTGACAGATGCTGAGAATTTTCGCTTTTATTCTATTGGATTATCATTTGTCTTCCACAGTTATTCACTTTCAAATACGAATTTCCGTATGATCTAAATATTTGTACTTTCCATTATAATCGGTTTCCACTGTTTTGCTATTTTTTCCTGAGCATTTTTCAAGCTTTCACCCAAATATTGTTGATAACATGTATTCCACTATTGTCCGCGAAACACTGTCATCAACACTTTTACGCCAATTTCAGCACATAAGATCTGAAGTAGTCACGTTTATGTGCAATATGAATGCCAAAGATACGCTAAATTAAACCATATATCTCTTTTTAATTTAACGTGAATAATTGCCATTACACCTGAATGAAAGAATCTAACATGTTGCTAACCAGTATGTCCCACAAATGGTCCTCAGATGTTACAAGCAACACCAGAGTCATAAATAATCGCAATTTTCAATTGATTAAACTCAAAAGGTACTACTGAGTGGAAGAGAAATAAACTAATGAAGAAAGAATATATAAATAGATCAAACTAACAGCGAATCACGGTACAAAGATGGTAAGAGCAGATAAGTTTCAGTATCAGATAAGGCTAATTGAAGAGTTTGTTTCGAATTTTCGAAAAACCAAAGCAGGAGTTTCCAAGTTGTTTTATCCTAATGAATCAACAAACAACGAAGTACATCAGCATCCTTCTTGAAGCTAATCCGTTTTTGTTCAGCCTGTGTCCAGTGGGTTTCACTTATTACAAACACCACCAGCAACATGCCTGTCTAGAAAGATATCAGAGAATATTCATATCAGATTGTACGAAGTGGTTTGAAGAAAAGATATTTCTTATCCTCTATTGTTACTGATTTCTTGAAATCGGTACAAACATATTTTTATTATGTTGCCCAAATTGTAGTATTATGTCTAAACGAGTTTATGTGATGAGCAACAATCAAATAAATAATTTTTATGTGTTGACGATTCAGCAATCACATACGAGATTGTTTGTTAGCTTATAAACGGTTCGTTAAAAATGAATATTTGTCTTTGTTTTTAATAGACTCGGTTAGGTGCTAAGTCTCGTCGTAAGTCTGGGTCGGCAACCAGTAATAACTCAACTGGTCACAGTGGTGATGCACATGATTCTGGTATCAGCTCCCAGGAAGATTTGACTTCTTCATTTTATTCAGCAAGTACAGGATCATCTCCTACACACGTTTCTGGTATGGCGTTATGCATGACCCATCGACTGACTCGTGACCAATGTCGAATGGCGGAAGTAGCTGCCCATTTTATGGTTACTCGAGAGGCTGCAGCAGCGGCAGCAGCAGCAGCAGGTCCAACTAATTCTCAAATTCCTGGTGGTACAACACGGTAAGTTTACATTTTACTAAGTACATTACGGGGTTGTGAAGTTTGTTAAGTTACACATTTGAAATCGTGAATCGATCAAAGTTAGACCACCATTAGAAACCTGGAAGCACTTGACGGCTGTCAAGTTCTGGTATGGGACTCATCAGCAGTGCGCATCCACGACTCCTGCAACTCGCGGGATTCGAACGCAGGACCTTCGGTCTTGCTCGCGAACGAGTCCCATACCAGGACTTGACGGCCGTCCAGCACTTCCAGGTATCTAACGGTGATCTAACATTGATTGATTCATGATTTCAAATGTGTGATTTTAATAATTGTTTTGTTTGTTATCTTTCCTAGTAAGATCGATATTTGCTTACGTGTAGTTTTAGTTCGGTCGTTTAAAACTATTTACTTTAATTTTTCGCACGTTGTAGTCTATTTAGGTTCATTTCAGTGTAGTTTTCAGAGGTCGTATACGATATTTTACGGGACTGATCATATGAAAACAGTCGAAAAATTCAGTGAACACTTACTAACCTGGTCATGTAGTTTTACCGGTTTAATATCATTATTGCCTCGGTAACTTAAACCCTCTCCTTCTTTTATCTAACTTGAAAATTCTCTTAATGAAGTTTACTAAATGAGTGAATATCTAAGCTACTTTTTGTAATCCATGTTTTTTTTGATAAGACAGACAGACAGACAGATACAACGCAGAACTTCGTACGTAAGTACATCAGTTGAGGTTGCCATGCCCCATCAGCATTCATTTAGTTATAATCAACGTAGAAATTACCGCATATGTACAACACCATATCGCAGCGGTAGATCACGAAGTGTTAAAAGTATCAGCAGCATCAGTGTTAATAGAAAACATTAAACATAAACCCTGTGGTTTGAGAAAGTTAATCTGTGGAATAGAACTAATACGGTAATCTTAAAGGTCACATAACTTCCATCCAGTATACTCCTAAATCAGAAAACATCGCTTGTCGTTGTAAACGATGGTTGGATATACATTCTTTAGCAAAAGCTGAGCTAGCTTCTTGAGTTCATTCCGCGATTTTTTTACACACTAGCCCAGTACGGCTGAGAACACTTTCAAGATAAATAAAGTTGTTGACTTGTTTAACTACTTCACTCCCTGTCATTAGTTTAAGCGTTAGTGTACATCAATCCTGACGCAACTCTTTGTATTCAGAGAGAGGGAGAGTTACATCTTAAACAAACACTGATATTCAAAGGGATCGTAAGATTGTATCTTATTAGTGTCTTCACCAAACAGAATTATATCATCTGCTTATCCTAAGTATATAGGTAAAATTGATTATTTAGTGGCTTTTGAATCTTACAAATATCATTTACATGTTGTTTATCGTTAGTTTTATATATTCTGTAGTATTGTTGTGTTGCATTTTAATTGTAGTTCAACTGACATGTCGTCTGGATTAGTAGACGGTGGCAGCGCTGTTAGTAAACCCTATCCGTCTAATAACTCACCTCGTTCCTATCGATCTCGGTATACTGAAGTTCCTTTGTTAATAGAGTGAGTAAATTATTATTTCCTAAATTATTTTGAGAAGGAATTATCTTTTAAACCGATAGCCATTTGTTTCACCGAGTAATTGTTGTTCATCATGATGAATGATTTCGATATCATACTTTGGACTGTTATTATCTACATAGCCATGTAATTTCTTTGACACATACATCTCTCTCTAGATACATCCATCTTACAATACTTTTTATTGTTCATTTGAATCCCATTCAAATTGTTAACTCTCATAAGGCAGGTTTAAGTCACAATACACGGCACATTTCTCGGTACTCTCAAGTTATACTTTTTCAGGTTTAGTTACTATTGAAGTATATAATTTCCTTCCTCGAATTGACCATTCTGTCAGTTATGTGCATCGTAAAACTTAAGATAAGTATGCATCGGTTAAATTTGTCTTACTACAATTAGCACAGCGAAATGAAATCGTCAAGACCAATTAAATAAACTGATGTTCATGATACTTTTGCTTGTATCGATAACAATGTTTTAGAAGTCAGTTAATCCATTCTTATGTATACTGCTAATATTGTAGTCTGATACACTGATTATACCCCTCACGAAATTCATATTTCCTTGTTTTTATTTTGCAAGGAATTAGAACTACTTGTCATAGATGAATTTAAGGTGTAAAGATGATCATTCTACACCACTTTTTTTTCAGTGATATATAAATCTTTTATTAAGCCAACTATATTTCAAATCAAACTATTCGTTAACCATTCTAAATTATTACATTTGTTAGCTTCACTTTTTTAAGCATCATCAAATGTCAATGTTGTTGACATTTTCAAGTCTGAATTTTAATTACAAATAGTTTGTAAGCTTAGTGTTATTATTTACTACATATGCACAATGTCGTTAGAATTTAGCCTTTTGTTTACAACATGTGATGTAGATCATACGTTTTATTTGTTTGTTTTCATCTATCGATTGAATTTCTCGTCCACGTTTTAAAGTAACCTGTTTATCTGTTACTTATTTACTTTTCTAGAAAATTCTTTGATGGTGATGAAGAGTTGTGCAGTTGTTTACCGATTGAAGTCATTCCAGATTCTGGTAATCATTCTAGTTCCTTGGCATTGCCACCGAGGAGTAGCAGCAGTCCAACTTCACCGTATAATACGTTAGATAATTTTAAAACTCACTGTTTACCAATTTGTTCACAGTCTGCAGATCGTTCATCAAAGCATTCGTATTCGTCGCAATCAAGTGATCGTGATACACGGTTTTCATCATCCAGAGTAGGGGATGTGTCTAATGTCTTTAATAATGACAATATGTCACCATCGTCATCGATATATCATACTGAAGAAGAGTTATCACATACTGTCAACCCTGTAAATCATTCTTTGTTGCCAACACTTGCGAATCATTCACTAATCTCTGGGACTGTTACTGATATGTACCATAGTGGTCATGTATTACAAGCAACTGTTGAACACCCGGAAAGTTTTAAATCACGTTTAGAAGAAAACTTACTTCAATGGATTACTTATGGCCCAGTTATCATTAATGATTCAAATGACTTATCTGTCGGTTGTAGTAACTCCAATAACAGTACAAAGGCAGAGGAATCATCATTATTATCGACACAAATGAATCCACCAATTAAATCTAGTCTTTTGTATCAAAAGTCAAGAGGTCAAATGAAACAACTTAAATGGTCTGCTACAAGCTTATTGATTAATTGTGATGCTAAGAGTGTTGAGGTAAGATTAGGAGGAGGTTTTTTTGGTTTTCAGTCTTTTTTCAAAAGCTGTTGTGATTTCACGATTGCTTACAGTATTTGCTGATTACAGACAATTGGGAGATTCTTCTGATGCAGAACACAGTCTTTGCGAACTGAACAACTACAATACATAACTACTTTAACCTGTCACCCTTCTTGCGGCGTGGATCACCGACTAAAGATCTCTAATCAACTCTATCCTGGGCTCTTCATTCCAGTTATTGTTAAGTGCTATTCACGATCTTGATGTCTCCCTCCAATTCTCTGTGTATTGTGTTTCTTGGTCTACCTCTTTTCCTTTGGCTTTGAGGATTCTAATTTAGGACTCACCTTGTAAGGCAGTTTGATGGTTTTCCTGAAATATCTTCGTTCCCAGAATCATATCCAGATTATCTACAGACATCCATTCTTTCAGATTTAATTTACGATTTACCAAATCATTTTGGATATCCCATCATTTATTCGGGGATCGCAATCGATGTTAAGATGTTTTAGACACAATATAAGGCCTGATTCTTTAGGGTTGCTATTTTTCAACTAATACTCAGTTCCTTGTACGCGATTCATGTTATTTTCCTTTACAACAAATATTAATCAAAGGTTAACAATAGTTTACCTTTGATTAATATTTGTTGACTAACAATAGTTTACAAAACTTTTTTTCATCGAAAGTAGCAACGATGAGCTAAACACACAAAAAATTTATCAGGTTTACTTTACAGAATGAATAGCATCTCAATATTCTCTACAGATGTCCAAATATTTTGTATACTACAGAGTAAGTATGTTGATGAAGTCGTATACCTTTATCAACCAGAGTAGCTGAGATATGTGTTTAGCTAACTAGCATAGAACGGTCAGGTCACAATAATATCAGTTGATAAAGTCATTGATCGTCAATTTGAATCATTTTAGAAGTTTCAGGCTTCATGGTCTAGATCTATACCACAATGAAGGATTTTAAATACCATGGCTCAAAATTCGTCTGTATAATAGAGCTTTCTTCATTATTACATTTTCTAACAGTCAGTTTGGACAATAATTTTTCATACGTTTTATGGCCGGAGATCTATCGTTTCAATATTAATATCATCCTCCTCAAACACAAGTTTCAGCTACTTCTGGTTATATTACTTAAGTTTATGTACTGTTAGTTTTATTGAGCCCTCGCCACGCCGATTAGCTGCCTCAGGGTGGGCATCACTTACTACATGGCTGCTTGTCTGTTTAGGTCTTCTTAGGTTTATTGTCACTAAGTAGAGCCCTAAGAGGTTTCTTTGCGTCCAGTAAGGCGCAAACAAATACGCGCTTGCACTAGAGCGTGGTCTGAATCTAAACATGTTCTGCAGAACGAGTGGCAGTCTTCAATTGAGCCTTTCCATTGGTGGCTGATAGTGATGTGATCTACCTAGGTCCAGCGTTGGGTCGGGTTTGGGGGTCGCCAGGTCAACAGATGTTTTCCCTTGTGCTCAAAATCAGTACTTGCCAGAAATAGGCGATTGTCTGAGCATAGCTTCACCAGACGGTCGCCATTATCTGTTCTCTGAGCCACAACACCATAAGATCCACCCAGTTGTCATTCCTGTTCACTTAGTTTACCTAATTGAGCATTGAAGTCACCAGCCATTATTACTATATCAGAGCGCCTAGCTTTTTGAAGAGGCTCAGAAAGGTTTGTGACCAATTTGATCTTGTGTGCTGTTACGGGTATGAGGGCGATTGTCACTTCCCAGTTGCCTACACTGTGGAAGGGTGTTTCTTGAGGAACCTGAAAAGGAAGGTAGATTAGTGTCAGTCTTAGAAACCTGGGAGCGTGACCGCAGACCCCAGGGGACAACTGCTTCAAGGGGGTCACGCAAGGCCCTTATATGAGAGGTTTTGAAAGTATTAGCTCCGCTCTTGTTTAAAAGCTTTTGCCGACGGAAATCTGTGAGGTAGAGTGAGGTGTGACGTTTTTAGGGTCGACCTTTTCTAATTCTTCCTTGTTTGTGAGAAGATGCTGGTTTTCCGAGGGAAACACCTTACTGCACCCACACCTCTCTACAGTCAGCAGTACGAATTCGCCCTCAGACCTTGAGTAGCTGTTTTTAGTCTCATTGTTCTTCGATCGACCTGCCTGGCATGGTAGAACCTTCAGCAACATAAGTTCCAGCCAATATAGCTCGGTTGGGTCATCACGATCGGCAAAGCCGACCACCACATCAAGGTAGCAGCTGCGCAACCTTAACTGATGTACTTATGTACGAAGTTCTAAGTTTCCTGATTACACCCACACATTGTCAGCAACTTTTTACCTAATCAATTGAAAAGGTGGGCACTAGTCTTTCACACCGGCTAATACTATTACTGTTGTTTTAGTTCATTTTAAAAATTTTATTATCACGGTAGTTTGATAATGTAATATAGATTGATAAAGAAATATCTTTTATTTAACAGGTCAAATTGATTTAATGTTATCTAAGTTGTATGCTGACTGTCTATAGGTAAATTGTCATTAATTTATAGTCTATTTTACGTAGTTTTTAATAAAAAAATTTGTTTTAAACATTAAACAACCGTCGTATTAGGTAATGGTCAGTAGGGCTTGTGTTCAAAACTGTTTAACATGTATACTTGCATGTATTAAGGTCATCTGATTAGTTAATATATTTGGTTAGCCTTTGAAGTATGTAGTATAATTTTCATAGTATTTCATTTTATTTGTAGAGCATTATTGAAAAGTTGGAAAACTGTCATCACTCTTTTTATTCTAACAAATCAAAAATTGTCCTGTAACCTACTATTGTTTATAATTGTTACATGGACATCAATAGTTGGTTAGTGTTTCAACAAAATCATAATTTATAGTACAGATCTCAGGTCACCGAATAATTATCTGGTAGATTTTGTCAATGATTTGTGATTTGTGAAACAGTAATTATTGAAGAACTACACATTGTTATCAAACGCATTATTGAAACCTGTTTTTCATTTACTTCTGTTATAAATCTCTCTTAGTGATCCCAGTTATTCCTGTTGCTTAGTATTCTCTGACAACAATTCACTCAACAAGTCCCCAAATCAGAACACGGTTGAACAGGAAAAAGATTACATTCCAAATAGCAAGGTTAAATGGAAGTAAGAAGCCGAAGCAAAGGCGAAATAGGAACAGCGTTAGCATTTTTATAGTTTTTACACCAGAAGTTTCTGGAATCTAATCCACGTGATCGACTAGCGCTGATCGAATTAGATTTAGCCAATCAGCATGCAGCCAACAACACGAGAATTTTCTAGGATGCCCTCCAAATATCGATCGGACGCTGATTGGAAAGGAATTAGACAGTCAGCGTGCAGCTAACGCAGTCATGTCTTATTCCATCTATGTCCCACTAACGGCTTCTTATTGCCAAACATTTATATACGCATCTATGTTCTTGTTAACCATTTGTTCAGGTTTGTTCACCTAGGATATCTACGTTTTTCAACTCAAAAAGTTCTACATATTGATCAGAGTGGACGGAAACCATTTACGCAAGCATTTTGAGCATGTTTGTTCCATGTTTGGAATGCGGCGAAACTTTATTATTACTAGTCTACTTTAACATATTTGAAAATTAAGTCTTTAAAAAATTTGTTAGCTTTATTTAAGGACTCTGTTTTTGGGTGTTTTCCAATAATATAACATCCGCTGTGAAAATTTTTGCTAATTCAGTGCTTACTGTAAAGTAATGAATGCTTTTTAAATAGCAGGTATGGTGCATAAAATTCTTATCTCTTCAGCCGAACTGTGAAAATTGATCGTTTGCGGTGATTTCTATGTATATAGATTATAATGGTTGATACTAGGTTTCTTCATAGTATCTCTTGCACTTAGTAAACTTGTTTTCACTGCTTTGAAGTTAGATGTATGGACATGGTTAATAAGCTGATAAAGCAACAGCAAACCTGTATTATTTAGAGTAATTAAATTAATTACTGCAGATTTCAAGTTTATTGTCAACCTTAATGTAAAACTGGTTAAAAAGCTCCAAGTTCACAAGACTAACTCTCAGCTTCAGTCAGTCATTCCACTGTGTAGTTAGTTTATTTTCATCAAACTTTAATAGACTAATTTATAGATTTGGGATTTTTAAGTCTCATCTAAAAATGTATCACAGTCTCGTATATCCCTGCATTCACCATCTTCATATCAGTCCTCAACATTTTTATCTGCTTTTAGATGTCATTTTTTTGTTTTTCATTTTTGTAATTTTTATGTGTAAATATGTTTCTTTCCCTACTGTACTCTCTAGAAAATTGTCAGAATCTAAGCTTCTGTAATGTTATTATCTCTCTGAAGAAAAACAATCCTCAAAAGTTTTGTTGAGTTTAAGTGTTATTTACTTTTTGGATTGTTATTACGAAATCTGTATATGTTCGTTTGCTTGTGCTCACAAAATGGATAATATTTGCTACTTGCATTTCATTGCCAACTATTCATTCTGATCATTGCAACCTCCTGGGTTGATTATGATGCTATAATTGTAATTAAATATTTTTTAACAATCAACTATAAGTATCCTTGAATAGGAGGTATAATCTTATATGCATAAAAAATAGATCATTTATTAAATTTTGAAATCAACAATTGAATTGTTTTGTGTATTTCTTTTTTTTTTTAATATATACAATAGGCTCTAACACTTATTCAACCTAAATCTACAAATTTGGTTTCGGGCAATGCACCAGATGATGTAAATCTGAAATCAACTCATCATAACACTAACAGCATTGCCAATAGTAATAGTACTCACGTTAGTCGAGATCGCATGAAAATAAAGTTGAATGAGACAGAACCCTTTGTGCAGCAATCAGTCCTAACAACAACACCAATGTGTAAACTTAGCTCATCTATTATTCGACGTATTATATCAATCAAACCGGCTCCTTTGGTATTTCGTCTTATCGAACAAATTCATACGGTGTTAGATGCAACAAATTGTTCACTGATGACGCTGAAACATCTGGAGTGTAATTTGCAATTAATTTATCTTAAAAGTTCAATACTGACGAATTTGTTAATCAGTGAAGGCTCAAATACACTTCACCGAGTCGATCGAATGACCATTGCTGCAGGGTTAGTGACATCAATCATTTGTAATATTTGCTTACTAAAATTAGATTTCGTACACGCAATTTACGACACAACAGGATTTTTCGTATCTTTTTATCCACTTATCCTAGCATTGAATAAGTGATTAGTGACTGGTGTTTGAATCCTGCCCCACCTACTTTTCGAGAGCTTATGTATTAAGTATTAACAGTTTGCCTTAAACTCAGTTACATAAACTTCTACTGAGTGAATTGCATGTAAGTTAAAAGAATAAATCATCCGATAATAGCATACAATACTTTGGATGCTTCTTAATTTGTTGTCTGAGTTAACTGGGTATTTTAAAAAGGCAGATTATTTTGAAATAATAATGCTGTGCAGTATATTTGAGTTTTCGGTAACTGTAGAATCCAGGACGTATATTTTAACGTACCTGGGACTCATTGTAAAGGGATCTAGGAGGCAGTCACTTCAACATGTCAGAAGGTTCTGGGCCACAAGAAATACTGTTACAAGGAATGGATCTCTATTGATACACTTGAAAAATTCAAGAAAGGAAGCACAAGAAGGCTGCAATCAGCATCAACCGAACGAGACCCAAGAAAGTCAAGGTACAAGCTGAATACACAGAAGCAAACAAGCAAGTGAAGAGGGGCATCAGCGCTGACAAACGTAAATATGTTGAAGATCTAGCAATGATAGCGGAGAAGGCTGCAAGAGACGGAAACTTGAGACAGTTGTACGATACAACAAAGAAGCTCACTGGAAATTGTCGTCAGCTAGAACGACTAGTGAAAAGCAAGGAGGGCAAAGTAATCAGCAACAGTAAAGAACAGAGAAAGAGGTGGGTAGAGCACTTTATGGAACTCTTGAATCTACTAGTCCCACTAAATCCACCCAAACAGTATCCACGGACTTCCTAATAGATGTTTGCCCACCAACAATTGAAGTCTTCAACAGGGTGTTAAACAGAATGAAGGACCTCATAGATGCCCAACTTCGAGATCAACAGGCTGGATTTCGTAAGGATCGATCGTGTACCGACGACATCGCAACATTACGAATCATTGTGGAACAATCAATTAAATCGAATTCACCAATCTACATCAGCTTCATTGACTACGAGAAACCATTTAATAGGCATGTACAAAACAACACTATGGCGTGCCTGAGAAACAAGTCAACACAATACAGAATTCTTATTATGGATTAGACTGCAAAATCGTGCATAGAGGACAACTGACAGACTCGTTCGAGGTGGAGACTGGTGTCGGGCAAGGTTGCTTATGATCACCCTATCTCTTTCTCCTTGTGATCGACTGGATTATGAAGACGTCAACATCTGGAGGGAAGCACGGTATACAGCGGACAACCAGGATTTAGCTAGTGTTGTTAAACAGAATAAAGGACTTCCTAAACGCCCAACTACGAGATCGACAGTCTGGATCGATCGTGTACTGACCAAATTGCTACATTACGGATCATTGTGGAGCAGTCGATTGAATGAAACTCACCACTCTACATCAACTTCATCGAATATGAGAAAACATTCGATGGCGTGAACAGGACAACACTGTGGAGGCTTCTTCGACACTACGGTGTGCCTGAGAAGATAGTCAACATCATACGGAATTCTTGTGATGGATTAAACTGCAAAATCGTGCACGAAGGACAGGTCACAGACTCGTTCAAGGTGAAGACCGGTGTCAGGCAAGGTTGCTTACTCTCACCCTTTCTCTTTCTCCTGGTGATCGACTGGATTATGAAGACGTCGACATCTGGAGGGAAGCACGGTATCCAATGGACAGCTGGGATGCAGAAGAACGATCTGAACTTCGCAGATGATCTGGCTCTTCTATCTCACATGCAACAACAAATGCAAGAGAAGACGACCAGTGTAGCAGCAGCCTCTGCAGCAGTAGGTCTCAAAATACATAAATGAAAAAGCGAAATTCTCCGATGCAACACAACATGCACCAACCAAATCACTCTTGATGGGGATGCCTTGGAAGACGTTAAAAACTTTACATATCTGGGCAGCATAAGCGACAATCAAGGTGGATCCGATGCAGATGTAAAGGCACGGATCGGCAAAGCAATGGCTGCATTTCTACGATTGAACAACATCTGGAACTCCAAACAAATATCAATCAACACCAAAATCAGTATTTTCAATACAAATGTCAAGACAGTTCTACTGTATGGAGCTGAAACTTGGAGAACTTCCAAAGCCATCATTCAGAAGGTAAAAGTACTTATGAACAGTTGTCTACGCAAAATACTTCGTATTCGTTGTCCAGACACCATCAGCAACAGCCTACTATGTGAGAGGACAAACCAGATTTCAGTGGAGAAGTGAATCAAGAAGAAGCGGTGGGAGTGGATAGGACACACTGTGGAAAGCACCCAACTGCGTCACAAGTTGGTTGCTTTAACAGTCATCAAAATACATTTCTTAATTTTGGTTGAACATATCATTATGATACACCAGTTTTTACTTCTATTATCCAGTGTGAGTGTGTGTGATTCTTTTAAAACTTGTGATTTTAATGTATATCACCTTATAGTTTTTGTTTAAACGTTATGTAGTTAAACGTTCACAGTTATTTTGTTATAGTGATTATTTTTAACTAATTACTTAAAAACCATGTAAATGTATAAATGGTGGTTGTTTTTCTTATTTTTCCAAATTTTAGTTGCTTACCGGAAGATCTTCCTTTATTGCTATCCATTGCATCATCTTGTTCTGCACAGGTTGCAAATATTCTACATTCTAGTCATTTCGATTGGATGAATATGTGATGATCTCCATAATACAATGAGCTTTTAGAGTAATTGATTATTACTTCTTCAGTTTTCCTTCAGTATGTAATATTTATCAGAAGTTGTTGATTACTTAACGTTACAGTCATGTAATTTAATTCTCTTAATTAAAAACATACTTCAACACACTAGATCAGCTTTTAGATGACCACTAATTTTCTCTAGTTGATCATTTAATGGTGTTGTGTAAACTCATAAGTTTGTATCCCTACTTTTGTTAATTTCAGTATTTTAAATACCCTTGTACAGATCCTTTTTTTCCTTAAATAACTCATTGCTGTGAATTTATTTGTTTTCGATATATATATATATATATATATATATATATATATATATATATAATATGCAAAAAATTATGAATAAAATGTGTGGTTAGAAACTCAAAGAATTACAAACAAAACGTTCGGGAATCGCACGTTGCCATATTTTATGTATCGCAGGTCAAACTGTATGTAACTAACGTAATTTGTCTCTGAAAAGAACTCAATAATATTCGTTTTGCGGAATTGCTACTAGCCCAAATAATTTGCAAGTACGTTAACAGGAACTGACTTTATTATGGAGACTTAAGCTTACGCATATAACACGTTTCTCATGATTATGTAGGGATTCAATTAGCGTATCATGAAAGATCAGTGACATTCAAAAACGTGTAAATCAACTAAACCCTAAACTCAAATAAGTTACACCACCATTAGCCATCTTGCTGGGCGTAAAGAATCAGTACCAAGAGAGCCCTTAGAGTCCAACTTAATCACAGGAATACATTCTAGTAACTACTAGAAAACCAGTTGGTCAACGATGTCGGTTATGCCAACCTCTGGACAGCTTCAAACGATACACTATACTGTATGAACAGCAGTGATAAACCACAAGGTTAACGGAAGTCCGTAGGTCTCAGAGTCAGCTGTTGGGCTAGTAGATACTTGGGGACTCATCCCGTCTGATTATGAAACCAACAAAATATGGAATCAACTAAGATAAGTGGATACGAAACTTACATGATGACCGTGGGTGGTTGTGGCTGGGGAAAAGCGTTCATGGTGGGAAGTAGTACACAACTGTTCAGATAATTCGAAGAGGTAATAGAAAATAGAGGATTTGAGAGATCTTTCGTGAAAAGAGGGCGGCGATCTAGAATCCAGGAGATCCGACTGGACACATAAGCAGAGGTTCCGCTGAACTTGTGCTGTCTGAAATCTGCGAACAGTGCCGATTGTGAATTGTTGAAAATCATCTATTATGTAGTGAGGTGATTTGCCAATAGGGAATCTAAAGAATGCAGGAATAGATAAATTAGACCGTTTTAGATGTTGGGTTTGAGGAAATTCATCGAATGGTGGCAATTGTTTATCATTTAATTCTTTAGGAAAGGACGAAACCTCATGTGGAATTAACAAATTAGTCTGTTCAAATAAATCTGTATGCAAAATATTAGCCTTAAATCATGCTTCGAAATCTAACTAGAGCTCGTGAAGATCAAATCCGTGAAAAACAAACTGGTCTCAGACCTGGACCTGGATCTATGGATCAAATACTCACCGGCAAGTTCTTGAGCACAGACATAATTTTCAACGTCAGACAATAATTGTATTAAGGTGACATCGGACTGTTGATCGTGAGGTTCCGTGACAGTATGTCATTGAAAAGTGTATCGAAGAGATACATTAATCGTGTTCAAACTCTAGTGGAACACTACTAGTTGAATCAGAACTTATGATGAACTGTCATTAGGATTGATGACTTCAAGTGATGTTTTTTAGAGTCGTCCGCTCTCCCTATATTTTTGACTTTGTCATAGACAGCGTTTTAGCAATAACCTCCTCATTGTGTGACCTTTCAGGGGTTGATCTCCGACCAGAAGATTCACTTATTGACTTGGGATACTCAGACGATATAACCGTGTTTGATGAAGATGCTGACAAGATTCGGAGTCCTTTGATTGCCTAAAGAAGGCACCAATGCGTGCATGTCTGGGATGTGATTTTCTACCTGAAGACTCTATCCAAAGCTCTTCTAGGGTCACCGCCGATCTGATCCGAATAGAGAAGGAGAGTCGGGCGTGGAGTTAGCAGCACCATTTTGTAGGAAACAATCTTAATAAAAAAGCGCTAATCAAAATGAAATCTCCCCCTCGAAATGTCAAATATTGTTTCAGGACTGGTGCACATCTGGACCCCAACTAATGGTAGGGAGTGAAGTGGTTGAGCGTGTAGACCACCTCACTTATCTTGGGAGTTTCACCAATCCTGATGGTGTGGTGACTAATGAACCAACCTAGATTCAGAAAGTTCAATTAGCCTTAGCCAACGTGCGGTGTAGAAGAGATATCCGTCTGCCAACCAACTAATGAGTGCACTACTGAGTAATTTGCTTCGTTCTACTTCATTAGTGTGAAATATGGACATTGAGAATGGAGGATATTGGTAGCTTTCTGATGTTCGATCACAGGTGTCTTCAAGGTATGGCTGGTGTATTTTGGGATGACCGAGTAAGCAATGCCTGGGTTAGAAATAGGGTACTAGGTAATGATGACGAATGGATTGGCGATGTAGTAAACCTGTTCGAGTCCAGTTAGCTGAAATCACCTTATTAAGATCAAAACATATCTAATTTGTGTATTTACTTGCCTACTTTGTGTAGGGAATGGTTTTGAATGGTTTTTGAATGCTGAAGGTTGTGTTTGCTTTAATTAAGACCTCTTTCCCCACTGTGCCTTCACGCGACTTGAATAAAGACCTACTACAACCACGTTACAGGCTTTTGATGGATACTAAGAAAGGGAAAGACTAGCAACACGAAAGTTGTGAGCTTGACATAATCGGAACACGGAAACCTCTGATCTGGAGACTGACGTGGTTGGGACATGTGTTACATATGTCCAACCTCCGTCTTCTTCGATGTCTGGTGTTATCTGGCGTAGGAGTAGACTAGAACAAAGCTATGGGCGGTTAAACCAAAAAACGACACCAGTTCATGAAGTCATTGACAGTTAGACTGAGCCAGATACATTGTATAGAATACCTGGTCGGGGTCAGCGTGATAATCGTAACTAGTTGTTGAACTTTGGATGACGTTGCTCGAAATCGTTTTTAATGGCTCGGACGCATCCATTCTTTGTCTTCTTCCAGATTCTAAGCTTCTGAATTCCCCGTAACTTTTTATTTATTTCATTAATTCATGTTTCTTGAATCTTATCTTCGATGCTAAGTTATTTTATTACTGCTAATACTGTTACTACCTCTTCTTCTATGGAATTAGGCCGTACGATTTCATGTCTCTGCACTAAAGAGATATGACCACTTAAACCGATGTACATACGCACGTACCAGTATCTAAGTTGCATTTGAATGCCTGACGTGGCATTTTGCTCATGATTATATTTTGTAAATGTGTGTTAGTGATAAGACCGGTGAATAGTTATGCGTTGTATGCTGAGTTTATCTCATTAAATGCATCTATATTTACTTGTCTTTTGGACTGGCTACTGTTGTATTTGTGCTGTAAAGAGAACACTGAATTAACTGATTCACCACAAATCGTCCCACCCCATAATAATCATTCGGTTTTGTTCTGACAAATTTATTATCTTAGGGGGTTAGCTGTAGCAGTTCATCGATATCAAATAACCAGAATATGCCCGTCAGTTTACTGGATCAGCTACTGACACAAACAGGTTTCAAGACCATGGGGACAGATTCAGTATCGTGTGGAAGTATATTCAACTGCACTGTAATATCTGGCCAGTCTCGTGCTTATTTAGTGGCTCTTCTTCACTTCGCTACATATTTCTTGAGATTCATGTGCTTGATTCATACACAGGAGTGTCTGCCAGAACTTGGACCAGCTGATCTGTTTGAATTAGAACAACAGAAACGACGGGTAGGTGGTGATCATTGTAATTTTTTAGAGTTGATTGTTTTATACCGTCCATTAGAGTAGGGCATCACTCTATATCAAATTTACATTTATTTTCCTTAGGTTATCCTTAATTTCAAAACAAGATTTGATGCTTTACTGATTCATGTATGTCACGTGTAATAAATAGCAACTTTATCATAATTATTAACTGTCGGTTCATGTATAATCCTAAATGGTTTGAAGGCTAACTTGGTGTGGCGTAGGTAAACGTACATTGTACATCAAAACTAAATGATCGTTAAACGAACTGATCTTGAATTCAATAGAACTCTCGAATGGTATTGCAAAAGTAACCAAGGACAAAATTTTGAAATTACTGAGATGCGAAGTAAATACATTTTTAAGATATTGAAGGTTTTATGGTAATTGTGCTACTACTGGCGTCTTCTTTACTGTGTGTTCTTTTAGTTTCTAATATTTTTTTCCAAAGGTGTTGCGATTTCACGATTGCTTGCAGTATTTACAAATTGATTCTTCTGATGCAGAACACAGTCTTTGCGAACTGAACAACTACAATACATAACTACTTTAACCTGTCACCCTTCTTGCAGCGTGGATCACCGACTAAAGATCTCTAATCAACTCTATCCCAGGTTCTTCATTCCAGACATACTGCTGCAGAAGCTGTCACTACACCAGTCGTCTTTATCTGCATTTATTTCTGCATGTAGGACAGAAGAGCTTGGTCATCTGTGAATTCCAGATTGTCTAGCTGCATCTTAGTTGTCCACTGTATCCTTTGCTTCTTCTGAGATTCGGAAGTCGTTATAATGCAGTCAACTATCAGAAGAAAAAGAAAGGGTGAAATTAAGCAGCCTTGTCTAACACCAGTCAAGACTTGACATGCTTCTGGGAGCCCACCCTCCATACATGAATTTACAGTGTAGTCCGTCGTAAGAATTGCGTATGATGTTGACTATCTTCTCTGGTCTACTACTATGTTGTCGAAGAACGTTCGATAAAATTATGTTCACACTGTCAAATGCTTGCTCATAGTCGAGGATGTCGATATATAGTGATCAGTTCCACTCAGTTAATTGTTCCACAATGATCCGTATTGTCGCATTCCGGTCATTACACTATGAGATGCAGCCTGTTGATCTCGAAGTCAGGCGTTTACTGAATCTCTCATCCGGTTCAATGACACTCTGTTGAGGACTTTCTGATGCTGACGTTTGAGATTTTCTAACACAGCATTATTGAACTATGTATTATAGTGCATTCTCTTTGTTAATCAAACTGTCAAATTTTTTCGCAAGCTTAATCAACGATGAAAATGCGAAATTATTGACAGTTATTCACTTTCAAATACGAATTTCCGTATGATCTAATTATTTGTACTTACTTACTTACTTACGCCTGTTACCCCCAATGGAGCATAGGCCGCCCACCAGTTTTCTCCAACCAACTCTTTCTTGGGCTTCCCTCTCCAATTCTGTCCGTTGTTTGTTCATTCCTCTCATATCTTTCTCTATTTCTCGGCGTAATGTTTTCTTTGGCCTAAACTTTAGACAATCATCGGACTGATGAGCGGACACAATAAATGCCTCCCTAATTTTAATGCTTCCAATAAAGATTAGTTTAACTAAGATATGTTTCAGATTACCTACAAAAACTAGGTAATTCATCTAAAATGAAAAAGATTCCCAATGTGGGCATCTCACTGATGCATCACGACCACTTCCCTCGAGGCAATCCTCGAAATATTGCACATCAAGAGCGAACACTCAGGTTTGTGCACACGTTTTCTCATTACGAGTCGTCGCAGCTTGGAAAGCTCTCCCAACTGGGGTGACCACTGCCCCCTCATTTGACAGCTTTGAGAAGAGACTTGATATAATCACATTCGGATTACCATCACCCTCGTGGACAAGCTTTGCCTGAGGCATGTCTTGAGACATGTTAATTGTTATTACTTTCATCTCCTCAGATCAATAGCTTAACCTGTTTCGCCAATTATCTCTGTTTTCTTTCCTTTGCTTACACTTCGGTCCTCTCTCATGATCTTCACTACCATTAATAAACTAATTTATATATTTATTTACTTGGTTCTGAAATCCTCTTTTTATTAGTATTATAATGTTCTCCTTTTTACTCTCCACATTGCAACTAACTGATATCCGGTGTGGTAACATGATAGCTGCTACTATCCGGAAACCCTACTGTCATGAAACAAACGTATTGATTCAAATCATGGGACATACTGTCAACTGACTAGGATTAGTGAAGTTGGGTGGCAAGGCTACCACCCACCGGACACTACCAAATACCTAGAACCGAACTGAAAGAACAAGAATCCAGTTCAAAGAAATCAATTGATTTATACGAGCTCGTGAAAAAGATATTGGATATTGTCCGTAAGTACGTTTTCAAAAGGTTCGTTACATTTGCAGTGTGGGTTTAGTTGACTGTTAGGTTACAGTCCTTCTCTGTTTTTGTAGTGTATAAAAGTGTCTGTAAACTAAAGTCTATTTATTGTTTATGTATTTTTTATACCTATCGGGTCACAAAATCAGTCTGAAGTTACGTTTTTCAGTCAAACCCACATTCATTGGACAGTACGGAACACCTGGAACTGTACCGAAAGAACAAGAATCGAGCGCAAAGAAATCAGTTGGTTTGTACTAGATTGTGAAAAAGATATTGGATATTGGGAACTGGTGTGCTTCGGAATTATTAACATAGTGTATCGCATACTGCTGCAAACAGTCCTAATCTAAGTTTTGCACGCAGTTTTAAGACCTGCATTGAAATTCCTACGACATGTGATGCATATATTTAAGATTATTAGAGTGGTGTACATAATTTCCCCGTAATCTGGACCGGATCCAATCCTTACATTCCTGCGGTTATTTCTTAAGCCTCCCTCCCCACTGAATGTTTTCTTGCTACTTATATTACTTTCTCCGCGTGTTAATTGGCTGTGAGGCCATACAAAACGTGCTTTAATTTTCCATCTAGTTTATGTATATCTAGGTTCTATTAACTTCACTATAGTTTGCAAATTAACTTCTTAATCTGAGCTTATCAGTGCTATTCTTAGCAGTCTAATATGTTTCTGACAAACAGGTATCATACGCGTGTCCAATGCCTAATTCGAATTCTTTATGTTAATCATTTTTTCATCTATATCGTAATAGAATACATATAGCCCACTAATATACAGTACTCTAATCAAGAAATGTGTACATATGATAGTGTTTAGTGGTGTTCCAGTAGGTGTTTTGTATATCTGGAGCAAATGTTTACCACCGTGCACGTAGGCTTTTGCGTATAACATTCTTTGAACATTCATATTGACTGCAAGAAAAGAGTGGTATATAGAAAAGCACCAAAAAAACTAATGCTTTGGATTCATGGATGCTAGTACTGGACCTTAAGGCGGCATTTGACTCTGTGGATCGTGAGGTTCTGTGGCAGTATCTGTCATTGAAAGGTGTACCAAAGAAGTACATTAACCTTATACAAGCCCTTTACTCGAACACCACTGGTCGAGTGAGAGCTTATGGCGAACTGTCACCGGCATTTTCTACATCAAGTGGTGTCCGTCAGGGATGTCCACTCTCTCCATTATTGTTTAATTTTATCATTGACATGCTCCTAGAAATAACCTTATCCTCGTCTGAATTTGCAGGAGTAGACCTTCTACCAGGTGGCTCGCTTATTGACTTAGAATATGCTGATGACATTGTCCTACTTGGTGAAGACGCTGACAAAATGCAGAGTCTTCTGACCACCCTAAGCAACAATGCAAGCATGTTCGGTATGTGGTTTTCCCCCTCGAAATGCAAAATGTTGCTTCAGGACTGGGTTGCATCGGCACCTGAACTAGTGATAGGGAGTGAAGTAGTCGAGGGTGTAGACCACTTCACTTATCTTGGGAGTCTCATCAGTGCCGATGGCCTGGTGACTGACGAAATCTCAGCTCGGATACAGAAGGCTCGATTTGCTTCTGCCAACCTGCGTCACTTATGGCGTAGGCGAGATATCCGTTTGCTTACCAGAGGTCGAGTGTCCTGTGCAGCAGTTAGCTTCGTTCTCCTATATGGCTGTAAAACATGGCCAGTGAGAGTAGAAGATATTCGTAGGTTACTGGTTTTCGATCATAGGTGTCTTCGAAGCATTGCTCGTATACCGTGGGACAACCGAGTAAGCAATGCTGTTATTAGGAAACGAGTACTAGGTAAGGATGGCAGATCAATCGATGAAGTATTGAAACTTCATCAGTTGAGGTGGTTGGGACATGTCTTGCGTATGCCGAACCACCGACTGCCTCGACGAACTTTGTTTTGTAGTGTAGGAGTAGGTTGGAAGAAAGTTAGTGGCGGCCAAACCAAAACATGACAGAAATCCATGAAGTCATTGACTAGTGGACTGAGCCATGTCGGTAATTGTCGACTACCTAGTTGGGGTCCGCGAGATGATAATAATCGATGGTTAGAGACCTTGAATGACATGGCTCAAAATCGTTCGCAATGGCGCCGGTGCATTTATTCTTTGTGTTCTCTCAAACCCTAATCTTCTGGATTCTTCAACACCTCTAGTTTCGACTCTCTAAACTTTTCTCACTGAATCATACTTCTTGAATAGTATCTTCTAACCCTAACCTCTCGGATTACTTCTAATTCCCTTACTACCTCTACTACTATTGGATTTGAATTGACAATTATATCTCTGTGCTGATGTGGTATGGCAACATGAACTCATGTACTTACGTACCAAGTTCTACGTTTCATCTGACTGACTGACTGACGGAGTACTCGAATCATAACTGTGACATCAACACAGATATTTTACCAATGCTTTGTAGACAAGTGTGATCATTAAGAAAAATTCTTGGTGGGTACATAATGCAGTTGTAAAGTTTCTGCCACACAGCAAACGTAGAACAGCCGCTGCCGACTGAATATTTATGACGTCTAATACTGCTGTTCAGCAATTTCGAATTCAACAATGATGAAGTCTCAATTTAGATTCTGTATTCCAGGTGGAAAATTATTGACTAATTAACTAATTGGCATTATGTTAAATAGTAGTTGTCGATACGTTTCATCATGTCCACCTTTCATTTGTTTCAAACAGTAATAAAGAAGTCAAGCTATTTTACCAATAAAGAGATTTGGTAACACCTTGGTTCTCTCATTAGCGTATCGGAGCCATGAATAAGACAGGTATAATGTGGTCACAATTTGGTCCCATCTTATTTCGAGATCTTATGGAATGAAATTTATTTCTATATATTCCAAGGTTGTTATTCGCAACAAATTATTATCATTGAAGTTGAGAAAAGACTGAACATTGACTTTGTCTTTGCTTAGTCTACTAATTGCATCATTCAATTTACAAAGTTTCAAAGTTCGTTGCTTCGCACGAGTGAAAAATTAACTATTTCCGTATCTGAGCTTGAGTTACTCCATCTTCGTAAGTAGTATATTCTTATTTACACTGTCAATTCAGCTTCTAATGGACATGAAATAAGTTACAGGTTTTTATTCAGTCTTTAAATTCATTTATAAACACTTCGCCAGTAAAATGTAGATTTTCCTAAACGGACAATGTGTTCACTTCTTGATCAAATTCGAAAATAGTTATAATTTCGAATGTTATTATTTTATATTTCTTTCAGAAATCATGTATAAACTAGAGCGTTTAATTCCAAGGTCGATTAACTTTGTACATACGGACAAAATGTATAAATTGGAAAGTTTCCATCATCTCGATGAAGTGAATGATTCATTATCACACCTTAAAGTATCAACGGAAGATATCTCTAATGAATTAAATGGACGTAATAAAAGTCTCCTTAAAGAGCTTGCTCAGTTAGACGATAGCATCTCATTTCTTTTAAATACATTCAAAGGTTATAATCCTAAAAATAATCCCGATCTTTGTAGTACTCAAGATGCTTCAAAATCCAACAACTTTATTTCTGAGATTCATCAGTTAACGTACCATATCTCAAATCTTTTGAATCGTGTTGAATCTAATCCTGTCAACGATGTCCAATGCGATAACATTTACAAAGAACTAAGTGAATTAGATCTCGAGTTAGGTGATATTTTGAATTTGTTTGCAAATTATTGTTGTCATCAAGATATTAATAACACAAAGATCATTAGTACTCCTGCACCTCCAAATAGTTTTATTACCATTCGTAAAGAACCTTCTACACTTATTATTCAATGCAATCCAAATAATCCTCCATTATCGATATTCCTGTTTTGTCATATGTTACTTAGTAATCACTATAAAGTAACAATTAATTCATTCGTACATTCAACGGTGGAACAACTTCCTCACTCACTTAAAAAGTTAATAGAAATTCTTTCAGTTGATATGCACGGTTCTTCAAGTAATAACATATGGCAGTTTGACACAGGACTATGTTTACATTTCATATGGAACTCAAGCTGTCCTGATTGTACTGTTTCATCCTTTGATAAATCCATCACACCGACAACATTGTATGGAGAATGTATGCTTGTTCAGTTAGTTGTAAAAATTCTAGAGCCTTGCAATTTCGACGAACTTTCATCACTTATTATTACAATGGATTCAAGTTTATCATTGCCTGGATTATCAATACGTAACACTATGGATGTGAAACAAAAATCATTAAATATTTTGAATAGTCATCCATACTTTGTGAAGATCAGCCGTGAATTGCCTTCAATCATTGATTGTTATCTATTTGTTTGTATTAAGGAGTTAAAACTGTCCGATGCATTGCCACCTAACTTGAAATCATGGCTGCAATTTTGTTCTAAATGGAAAAGCTTTAATTTGTTACCACTTTAGGTTTTTCTTTGTCCTCAAATTATGATAAGTATACTTACTGGTGTATAAGAGATCGTATTTTGCTATGATTTTTAGGTTGGAGAATGGCGTTCACGACCGTTACTTTCAGAATACAATTTTTGTGTATTACGTATTAATTCGGTAGTTGCAAATATCTGTTTTAGTTAAACTATCCTCTTACTAATAAGATTTGTCGAAGTTCTTCAGATCAGATGATATAACTATCACAGTTTCTCATTGATATCACTGTACTGTTAATACCCATGATTCCTACAATGTAAAACACAGACCCAAGATGCTCGCATATTTATCTAGCGTCTATTTGCTCACTATCTTTGTACTACTGGATTTTCTTAGATTTGCTGTCATATATACAAACAGAATGATCTAATTAGTAGTGCTATATCTACTTAGTCTCTTGCAAAAGATATCCATTTCCGTATCGTTTTCAAATCTTGTCTGTGCAGCAAATCATGAGCTTATGAATATATAACGGTCTTCTTGACAATACTCGATTCTCAGCGATTATGAATTAGTTAATAGCCAAACAGATATATCGGGTCGTCAGGATATAAAACATACTTTCACTCTTTAGCAGAATGAGGTTGAAACCAGGGAACTAGCATTCAAAATTCGAGTATTTTAAACGCCAAGTTACAACTAACGATGGGCTTTCAATGTCCGGTAACTAAAATTTGTTAGTACAGTTACAAATCCACCTTTTTACTTGTTTGGGAAATAGAACTAATCACGTTAACGAACCAAGTCAAGCAATACGTGTTCAACTGGATTATCATTTCACAGATCCGAGTTAACAGTTTAGGCCGGATAATTTCTTCACATCGTTTTCATTTAACACAATTTATTTAATAAATTCTGGTGCACAAATATTTTGTTGGATATGGTGAGAGTTTGCTTAATGTATAGCTCAATTGTTCTATCCGGCTTGTGGTTACAAGTTTGGTTGTCATTCCCAGACTAGTTGAATCTTACAAGTTAACTTTCCTACGTATTACTGAGCATAGACATTTCAGCGTTTTGGGTTTAATGATTAAAACTAAGATGGGACAGATATTCCGTTGGGGTATCTTAAAGTTGCAGCTCTCCTGACTGCAGCAGTCGTTATTTTAGCCATTTGACAAAGCGCCGATTCTGTTGCAATTTCAGATACCTGTCAAGTTCTAAGCAACAAAACCAAATCCAGTATGAATTCATTTCTAAACGGTCGTCAGGCTGATAAGTATATCTTACATGGATAAAGTCGCTTTTATTTCAGTCAGGAATCCCCAATTCACCCGCTTCTTTTAGTTATATAAATGGAAGAATAAGTAATCATTAGTTTACTTTTATAGGTCAATGCATGCAGTCATTCCATGAAGGTACATGCACGTGAAGAATTGCACCATAAGGTATTCTTCCCTTTACCGACTTTTGAAAAATAAATTATGAAGTATATTCAAACTACACAAAATAAATCAGAAAAGGGTCGAATAAGGAAGTATTATGATAAATTATCGAACTAAATTGAGATTCAGATTTGTAAAAAAAGAGAGTTGTTGAATTCGAGATGGCAGATAAAGCAGACAATAAAACTCAAGTATTTTTTTGCAAGATAAATTAGATTACTACACTTAGTTCTATTAAAATAATATTACTTCGATATTATTTAAATTCAACAGTTAATAGAGACATAAGAAATGTATTATTGGTTCCATAAATTAAATAATACCCAGTTTAATTGAATAGCTATAGATATACAAGGAAATCACAAACAAGTAGGATATGATGAAAATTAGATAATATAAACACAAAAATGATAGTAAGATGTGGGACCGATGATAGAATCATAACTTCTCTAATCCATTAAACAAAATATGATTAGGAAATGTTGAATGAACAGACTTTGCAATTGATTGTATGAAAATTAGAAAATATTGACTAGGTAAAGCATTTTACTGCCAATGTAAATAAGTGAATACACTAATGTATAGTGTACAGAAGTGTGTATGAGACAAAGTGAAGAAGAAAGTAGGATTTATGTGTATTTAAGTAATTTGGTGAATAAAAGAGGAAATATGAATGCGTGTCAGTTAAATACAAGACAGAAATGTCTGTTACTGAACATTACAATTGATTGGTAAAGGCTTGGCTGGATTTAAACACTTATTACATGTTAGTAATTCGGATACGGCACGTACCATATAAGACATTGTGCCAAATTTTCCTGCAGGTGGTGTGTCGTAGAAACGTTGACAGATATTATGTAATCCGTAGCATGTTAAGGTGCTTTGTCTACGTATTGCTTGGTTATTATTATTACTTGGCGTTGATTCGCTTATTCCAAATTGTTTCGTTGATTTCGCACAACACAATGTAGCGTTTCCACCAAATTTTACCTAGCAAAAAAGATGCAAATGTTACGAAGCTTGTATATCTCTCTCTAATTTAACATAAACATTGCTTAAATGACAACGTTTATGAGCGTGTATTGTAAGCATTTATCAAACAGTCATCTCTTCAATCGATAGGGTATGATATCATCACAACAATTTATGTTACTAACTAAAACACCATTAATGTTGAAATAATAGCTAGTTTTACAACCTTGTAAGACTACTGAGCTGTTCACTAAGCAACAGTTTTGTCGTTACGATTTTAGTGTAGACAGATTCTTGAAAAGCACTAAAATGATGACAGAATTCATCATGGATTGTTTATCGTACGAATGTGCACAAATATTGACAAGGCATTATATCTTATTTCCGCGGTCTTCTAATCTATGATGTGACAGTGAATCCTATCAGAGTGTATTCCCATTTTCGAGAATAAGCATGTGTAATAAAAAGTGGGAAATTTATCACTGCAAAAAGTGTTTTAATTTTTGGGTGAAAAGATATTTAAATTCAGATATAATACTGTTGAAACTCACATTATCCTTGAAGACATTAACTATTTCGAATATATTGTCATACTTTGAATAGTCAAGATAATGTATATCATCTAAGAACTTGGAGTTCGAATAAGTTAATTTTGCAAATAAATGTAATGGTTTGCTAGCCACAAATTAATTATTGCATGATTTTTCTGGCGTCCAGTAAGGCGAAAACAAATACGCGCTTGCACTAGAGCATGGTCTGAATCTATACATGTTCTCCAGAACGAGTGGCATTCTTCAATCGAGCCTTTCCATTGGTGGCTGATAGCGATGTGATCTACCTAGGTCCAGCGTTGGGTCGGGTTTGGGGGTCGCCAGGTCAACAGATGTTTTCCCTTGTGCTCAAAATCAGTACTTGCCAGAAATAGGCGATTGTCTGAGCATAGCTTCACCAGACGGTCGCCATTATCTGTTCTCTGAGCCACAACACCATAAGATCCACCCAGTTGTCATTCCTGTTCACTTAGTTTACCTAATTGAGCATTGAAGTCACCAGCCATTATTACTATATCGGAGCGCCTAGCTTTTTGAAGAGGCTCAGAAAGGTTTGTGACCAATTTGATCTTGTGTGCTGTTACGGGTATGAGGGCGATTGTCACTTCCCAGTTGCCTACACCGTGGAAGGGTGTTTCTTGAGGAACCTGAAAAGGAAGGTAGATTAGTGTCGGGCTTAGAGACCTGGGAGCGTGACCACAGAGCTCAGGGGACAACTGCTTCAAGGGGGTCACGCAAGGCCCTTATATGAGAGGTTTTGAAAGTATTAGCTCCGCTCTTGTTTAAAAGCTCTTGCCGACGGAAACCTGTGAGGTAGGGTGAGGTGTGACATTTTTAGGGTCGACCTTTTCTAACCCCTCCTTCCTTGTGAGAAGGCAGCATCGCTGCAGATGCTGGTTTTCCGAGGGAAACACCTTACTGCTGTCACACCCCTCTGCAGTCGGCAGTATGACTTCGCCCTCAGACCTTGAGTAGCTGTTTTTAGTCTCATCGTGCTCCAATCGATCTGCCGGGCATGGTAGAACCTTCAGGAACATATGTTCCAGCCAATATAGCTCGGTTGGGTCATCACGACAGGCAAGCCCGACCACCACGTCAAGATGGCAGCTACGGTCAGGAGGAGTGAACATCAACTGACGAGTTCTAAATTAGGACGAAAGGTGCGTCCTGAATTCCACTGTTAGCTACATTTTATTGATTTGATATACGGAATTCGATTAGAGAGACGTACAAGGTAGGAAATGTATACTTATCATTGATTTTTTGAATTATAACATGAAATACTCGACAACAACTTTATGCACAAAGTTCTATGTAGTTTTGAATTCATAATTACGATAATAAAGCTATGTTTCACACAATTACAGTTAACCATTAGGTTAAGTAAACGTTTATTCACACATCACATTCTACTTGCACTATTACTAAACACTATCATTAATATTATAGTTACTATTTAAAGTAAACTAATCTAATATTTCTCTTATTTTACTGAGGTGATTTAACTTTTTTATATTGACTGAAACTTCATAGTTTGTGAATCATGAAGAAGTCAAGGTCAGATGGAATAGATTTATTTGATGAAGATGCAGTTAATTTACAAAATATGTGCATGTAATCTTCAGGCGTCCATTTGCAATACAATCAGGTTATTGACTGTTTTCTCTAAAATCTCTTCTGGTCTTTAATGTACTTTGATCAAGCTATGCATTTTGATCTTTACTATTCATATGCCACCTTGTGAGTACATCCAGTACAAGTTTACTATGAATTTTTTGGGATACTTTATTCTTAAATGAACTTTAAAATTTGCGAATGGTAAAAATTTGAATTTAACCGATACAAATATTCACTACTTTAACAAATAATAATTTACCTACAACCTATCGATACATACCTTATATAGGTTGTTGTTGTTGTTATAGTACAATTAAAAGTTTATTTAGTGGATTAAGCGTAGTTGAACATTTATTGAGAACTAAGAAGCATTGTAAATCTGTTCCATATTAGTATGGAACTCTCTTTGGAGATGGACATTCACGACTCCATCAGGAGTTGAAACCAGGACTTTCAGGTCTCGCGGTGAGTGTTCAGTGTTTAAACAGCTAGGCCGGTACCAAATGATGAACATGTCGAAATTTAACCAATTCGCAATATTCTGAGACTATCTTCTACTGTCGTCAGTGAATAACTACCATACACTTGATACAGTAAGAACCCATCAGTTACAGTTTCTAACGAGAACTTCGCAACTTTCCTCTCAAAGCTAATTATCGTTGATCATATAATAATTATCAGAATAGGACTAATAGAGATTGTTGAGTTTTTATAGTCTACATCACGGACTGATCTTAGTTCTATCCCCGGAGTGGTCGTGAACGAATACCAAAGAGTACCATACTAGGTCGATACAGCTCTGTTCAGTAATTCTCGGTTTCCAACAACTGTCTAACTGGAATTCATCTATGATGCAAACTACAAAAATTAAACAATCCCTATAAACTCCCTATACTAATTATGAAATTATACTAATCTAGAGATTTTGATAATGAGATGATAATTGAAAAAATAATTGTTCATTCAAATAATCCTCAATAGTAGAGCTCATTAAACTATAATAAAAAGAAAAAAAAAGACAACAAAAACAGTTACTTACTTGATCAATTAAAAATAAATTATTTGCTTTTTCTAAAATATCTTCAACTTTTACGATACAATCAATAAATATTCGACTGTCAACATCATGCATCATTAATGAACCAAGTACATGAATTGCTTCAATAATCAGTTGACGATATTCTGGTGTACTAACCATTGTGCATACATGTTCAACAGTTAAAGCAAATTTATGTTCATCCATTGTCATCTAGATTGTGTATTGGGGTGGGGTGAGCGATGATGTGACGGTGAAAAATGTAATAATAAAACAACAAAAAACAACACTGTGTAATTAATTGTATTTGAACATGGAATTATGAAACTAAAATATTCAAAATGAAATCATTAAAAAAAATGCAAAACAAGAAACACTTACACAATATCTTAAAAAAAATTAAATTAAAAAAAAGAAATAACTAAAAGTATTCAAATATGTTGTTAATCACCATTTTAAAACTTTGATTATGCATGGGATAGTGAATAAAAATTATCACTTTCAATAACCAAGTCATAAACTTAGTTTTTTTAATCTCTTCAGGTTTAAGCAGCTAGGTGATGGTATCACTAATCTCTTTCATACGATAAACACAGCCCATTTACTGAGTAAGATTTAAATATTGAACCTTGAACCAGTGTGTTTACGGTAGATACAGTTATATTAGGTAGGCGACCTAGGTCCAAAGCAAGTGGAGCGACACGTGAACATTTAGCCTAACGAGTCAAAAGCTGGGTAATTTAACCACTAAGTCAGCGTTTGAATGCATTCACTTAATTTTAACCCATGGTAAATGTTGAAGAACCCCGAAACATCCCTCAGAAAGATCTATAGAGGCCTAGAAAATGAAGTATGAAGTGCCACGATTCTAATTGGATATTTGAGCATACTTACTTACTTACGCCTGTTACCCCCAATGGAGCATAGGCCGCACACCAGTTTTCTCCAACCAACTCTGTCCTGGGCTTCCCTTTCCAGTTCTGTCCATTGTTTGTTCATTCCTCTCATATCTTTCTCTATTTCTCGGCGTAGTGTGTTCCTTGGCCTTCCTGTTTTCCTTTTGCCTTGAGGGTTCCATTTGAGGAGTTGTCTTGTGATGCAGGTGGGTGCTTTTCTTAGTGTGAGTCCTATTCACTTCCACCGCTTCTTCCTGATTTCCTCCTCCACTGCAATCTGGCTTGTTCTCTCCTACAGTAGGTTGTTGCTGATACTGTCTGGCCAACGAATACGAAGTATTTTGCGTAGACAACTGTTAACGAATACTTGTATCTTCTGGATGATGGCTTTGGTAGTTCTCCAAGTTTCCGCCCCATGCAGTAGAACTGTCTTGACATTTGTATTGAAAGTCCTGATTTTGGTGTTGGTTGATAGTTGTTCGGAGTTCCAGATGTTGTTCAATCGTAGAAATGCAGCCATTGCTTTGCCGATCCGTGCCTTTACATCTGCATCGGATCCACCTTTCTCTTCGATGATGCTGCCCAGATATGTAAAGTTGTTAACGTCTTCCAAGGCATCCCCATCAAGAGTGATTTGGTTGGTGCATGTTGTGTTGCATCGGAGAATTTCGCTTTTTCATTTATGTATGTTGAGACCTACTGCTGCAGAGGCTGCTGCTACACTGGTCGTCTTCTCTTGCATTTGTTGTTGCGTGTGAGATAGAAGAGCCAGGTCATCTGCGAAGTCCAGATCGTCCAGCTGCGTCCTAACTGTCCAGTTGATACCGTGCTTCCCTCCAGATGTTGACGTTTTCAGAATCCAGTCAATGACCAGGAGAAAGAGATAGGATGAGCGTAAGCAACCTTGTCTGACACCGGTCTTCACCTCGAAAGAGTCTGTTAGCTGTCCTTCGTGTACGATTTTGCAGTTGAATCCATCATAAGAATTCCGTATGATGTTGACTATTTTCTCAGGCACGCCGTAGTGTCGAAGAAGCATACCGCTAATTTATTCAGTATGATTCTCGAACGTTCTGGAACGACTCAGTCATCAATAAATCTATAAATACCCTCATTTTTTGTACATAAACTACTCTTGGAGTAGAGCGTTCATCTTTTAATTCGCACCTTTTTTCTTGTATTCAAATCGCAGTGTAGATTTAAGTTTGGGGTTTTTAGAAGATAGAAAAACAGATCTTGTGTTCATTTAGCAGAACTTGTATTAAATCACACTTTTATGGCATGAATGAGTGAAGATACTAAGGAGTTATGACAAACGTAAGATAGTAATTCAGCAGAATGTTTATACATCAGAAAAAAAAAACAAAAGTGGTTTTAATTGAAAATAGAGGAGAACTGGAACGAAAATTTGTGCACTGAAAACCCATAAATAAGAAAACAAACCTTAGTTTATTTGTAATAGGCATGAAAACCAATTGCTCGTATGTTTTGTACTGGTGAGATAACAGAATGTCTACATAAACAGTTTTGTATATACCACAGTAATCTGCATTGTTATTATGAAGGTTAGGATGTATGTGAGGTCATATAACATTTACATTCACAATATTGTACATGTTTGGAAAATCCGTTTGGAAGTAACAAGAGATGAATTGCGCTGCGGTTTACTAAACTGCTGTCTTCTCTCAATCTGCTAAGCCAGTTGGAGTAGCATGAGAAACATTGGATTAATTAAGAATAAACGTGATAATCACCTTTGTGTAATATTTAACCGCTTAGGTTAGTGTTTCCTAAGCCAAAACCTATACTTGTGCTTTAATAAATGATAAAATGTAGCTAAGAAATAACACACACACACACACACGAAAGATTGTATAGTTTCCGAAACGAAATAGTTAAGTGATAGGACATTGAAGAAATTAGGATATGGCAAAGTAAAAAGTTAGAGAAAGGATTTTACAAAAAGGAATTATTCAGTAGTAGATATAACAGTTAGGAAAGAGGATATGTCAAGTCAGTCAGAATCAGCCAAATGACAACCGAAGACGCCAAAAGCTGAATGCTATTGGTCAGTACTTAGTTTAACTTTCAGTGGAAATAAACGTACATTATTGGTTGACAATGTGATTTCGTTCCCAGAGACATGTATTTATAGTTACGAATATGTTGTGAATTAAGGAGAATCTTAAGATCAATGAAGCGGTCGACATTCTCCGTTACTTCACTCCCTTTCATTAATTTAAGTGCCCATGCAAACCGATTCTGAAGCAACATTTTGCATTTCGAAGGGGAAAACCGCATCCCTAACATGCTTGCATTGTTGCTTAGGGCAGTCAGAAGACTCTGCATTTTGTCAGCGTCTTCACCGAGTAGAACTGTGTCATCGGCATACCCCAAGTCAACAAGCGAGTCTCCTAGTAGAAGGTCCACCCCTGAAAAGTCAGACGAAGATAATGTTAGCTCTAAAAGCATGTCTACGACAAAGTTAAATAAGGAGGGCGAAAGCGGACATCCCTTACGGACAACAATTGAATCAATCAATTCTGATGACAGTGCGCCATAGGCTCTAACTCGACATGTAGTGTTTGAGTATAGAGCTTGCATAAGGTAATGTACTTCTCTGGTACACCTTTTGATGACGGACAGTGCCATCGAATGTCACCTTAAGGTACAGGAAGACAATTATTGTCTGATAAATGCCACTTTAAGAAGTCGATTCAAATGACAGCTCCGTCTCAAGCAATAGTGTTCAAGTAGAGAGCCTGTACAAGGTTAATGAACTTCTTTGGTACGCCTTTCTGTAACAGGCACTGCCACATGACCTCACAATCAACAGAGTTGAACGCCATCTCAAAGTCAATGATTTAAATATTATTACTTGATTGCTGAACAGTGACCGATATTTTTATTACTGATTGAGTTATAATGATCAAATTGCAATACGAACACTAGTCAGAGTGAATCGATATCAGTCAGTCAGTCAGTCAGATGCAACGTAGAACTTCGTACGTAAGTACATCAGTTCATGTCGCCATACCACATCAGCACAGAGATATAATTGTCAATTCAAATCCAATAGTAGAAGAGGTAGTAAAGGTATTAGAAGTAATCGGAGAGGTTAGAATTAGAAGATATTATTCACGAAGTATGATTCAATGAGATAAGTTTAGAAAGTCAAAAATAGAGGTGTTGAAGAACTCAGAAGATTAGGATTTGAGAGAACACAAAGAATAAATGCACCGGCGCCATTGCGAACGATTTTGAGCCATGTCATTCAAGGTCTCTAGCCATCGATTATTATCATCTCGCGGACCCCAACCAGGTAGTCGACAATTACCGACATGGCTAAGTCCACTCGTCAATGACTTCATGGATTTCTGCCATGTTTTGGTTTGGCCGCCCCTAGCTTTCTTCCAACCTATTCCTACACTACAAAACAAAGCTCGACGAGGCAGTCGGTGGTTAGGCATACGCAACACGTGTCCCAACCACCTCAACTGATGAAGTTTCACCACTTCATCTATTGATCTGCCATTCTTACCTAGTACCCGTTTCCTAATAACAGCGTTGCTAACTCGGGTGTCCCACGATATACGAGCAATGGTTCGAAGACACCTATGATCGAAAACCAATATCCGACGAGTATCTTCTACTCTCATTGGCCATGTTTCACAGCCATAAAGTAAGACGGAGCGAACCACTGCGCAGTACACTCGTCCTTTAGTCAGCAAACGGATATCTCGCCTACGCCATAAGTGACGCAGGTTGGCAAAAGCCAATCGAGCCTTCTGTATCCGTGCCGAGATTTCGTCAGTCACCAGGCCATCAGCACTGATGAGACTCCCAAGATAGGTGAAGCGGTCTACACGTTCGACCACTTCACTCCCTATCACTAGTTCAGGTGCCGATGACACACAATCTTGAAGCAACATTTTGCATTTCGAGGGGGAAAACCGCATCCCGAACATGCTTGCATTGTTGCTTAGGGTAGTCAGAAGACTCTGCATTTTGTCAGCGTCTTCACCAAGTAGGACTATGTCATCGGCATATTCTAAGTCAATAAGCGAGCCACCTGGTAAAAGGTCTACTCCAGAAAATTCAGACGAGGATAATGTTATGTCTAGGAGCATGTCTATGATAAAATTAAACAAGAATGGAGAAGGTGGACATCCCTGACAGACACCACTTGATGTAGAGAATTCCGGTGACAGTTCGCCATAAGCCCTTACTCGACCAGTGGTGTTCGAGTAGAGAGCTTGTATAAGTTTAATGTACTTCTTTGGTACACCTTTCAATGACAGACACTGCCACAGAACC